CACACATGTTTTAATTGACAAATATGAAAATGTGCATATTAAATTAAAGAGACTAATGCTTTCTCTGAGCCAAACCAGTCTGCCGGTTTGGCAGGGCTTGGAGAACACATTTAACTTTAGATGGGGAGGGGAGAAAGATAGAAAGGTTGAAAGAAAGCAAATAGATGGGGGAGGGGGGAGAAGTGAAAAAGCAACTTTAAATTTGTCATCCAAGCCCCACCCACCCCCGCTGGCAGGCTTGGCTTGGCTTGGAGAAGGGATTTAAAGAGACCAATGCCTTGTCTAAGCTAGCCGGGGGGGGGCACTTTGAGAACACATTTAAAGTTAGTTGCTTTCTTTCTCTGCTTCCCCCCACCTCAAGCCTACCCAGGGAGGGGAGCACTGGCTGGGGAAGGAAATACTAATCGGGGAGACATGTCTCCCTTTCACTTCCCCAGGAGCCACACAATGTGTGTGAAAGAGCCGCATGTGGCTCTCGAGCCACAGTTTGGCCACCCCTGGTTTAGAAGCTGTTGTGCAATGGTCCAGATAGCAGCAGCTGCTCTTGAATCAGCAGAAGTGTCTCATTTGATTTTTTTTTCTCCTGCACCAGTTCTGTTCCATATTTGAATGGGTTTTACTTTGTCAGGCTGCATTTTCAAAACTGGTGAGAAACTGAGACTAGGATAATGTGCCTGATTTTTTCCAACCAGCTGATGTGTAGTTTTTTATCTACTGCCTTGTAGTTGTGTGTATTTCCAAATAGGAAAGATGTGGCAACTTAAAATCATTTAAATATTTTCAATACATTCTCCTTTGCCCATTGTCTCTTTGACCTTAGTTTAGATGCTTCTCCTGCCTCACCCTAGTTACACTATTAAAGGGATTGCTCATTAATTCATGCTTCAGTCATTACTGCACAATCAAGTGTGTCAGAAAGGTAAGATCAGAATTAGACATAGCCTATATAGATTGTCTCCAGGCACAATATTCCATTGTCAGAGTGTCTCTTTTTTCTTGTTTCTGCCACTGACAGCTAGTACTGTGGAGCAGAGGCAGAGAAACAAGCAACAGAATAACATCAAGATTTGGAATAAGTAATCCAAATGTTATGAGGACAGACTTAACATGGGTATGTAACTTTCGGCAGCAGTTCCTTGTTTCAAGTAACATGTAGGCCCACACACAGGGCCGGCCCTAGCTTATTTTGCACCCGAGGCAAGGATCCCTTCTGCCCCCCCCCCCCCGTGCGCCTACCAATTTTCAAAAATAAATGCATTTTAGGCACCAACGCACTCCTGCGCTCTGGTCAATTTCCTCCGCGCGATGGTAAGTTTCATGTCAGTTTCCAATCCTTCTCAGGTGACTTGTCGGGGTGGGGCAGGGCAGAACTTTATGGTTTCTTCGCAAAGCGGGGCCGGGGGGGGGGAGGAGAGGGGGAAAGTAGAAGGCAGGTGGCCCAGAAATAGAAAGGAGGGGGGCAGTCCTGTCAAAAGCAAAACAGGAATGATGCGCTTTGATGGAGGGGAGTGGGAGATAGAAGAAGGCTGGCTATCTATGTCCCCCCCCATCCTGGCAGGGGATGCCCTTCCAATGATCCGATTGAAGATCTCTTGCCCCCCTCCCTCCTGGTGCTTGTTAGAGCGAGTGTTGGGGGGAATGTTTTGAGATCCAGGGCTTTTTGAGTCTGGAGTGTCTGGCCACATTCCCTTGGCCACAGTGCACTTTTATGCATGGAACTGGGGAGGGGGGGAAATGCATAAGATCTGTGCCGGGGACGGGGGGGGGGGGGGAGGCAGCCAGCTCAGCAGAGCCCAAGATGTAGTGGAAAATGGCCGCTCTGGTGAGGGGGGCGGGGAAGGAGGGAGGGCCAGCCGAGCTGAATTTGGAAATGATGCCCGGCAGCCCGAGAGCGAAAGAAAGGTGAGCCAGAGAGGCCGAGCTTCCCGCAGGGGACATCCGGGCAGCCCCCTTTCTCTAGGCTGGCCGGGATCCTGCAGATCCCTCTCCTCCAGATCTCTCCCACCCCGTTCCCCCCTCCAGGAGGGAGCCCATGAGGACCCGGGCCGCCGGGGAAAGCCAATGGGGCCCTGTGGCAAGCAGGCCACCTCCATAGGGCTCTGCGGAGCACACAAGGGGATGGCAGGAGTTCCACCAGCGCCACTGCAGCATCAAACCCCCCGCTTAATAAAACAGCCCCCCACCATCTATCCTTCTGCTTCCAGTCCCCCCCAAACAGTGGGGTTTTCAATAAACAACTAAGCTGGGCTCCGGCGTTCTTGATCCACAGTCCTTCCTAGCAGCCCTGCCTGGAGAGGAAGTCCCAGCAAGTTCAAGGGGATTGGCTCTTGAGTAAACATGGCCGGGGCATGCTGCTGCTGCTGCCTCCTTCCTGGATCACCTGCAGTACAGTACACAAGTCCGACTGAGCCTACACGTGCCCGGGTGATGAGGGGAGGTGCGAGGCGGGCCCACTGGTAGTCTCTGGGGGAAGGTGGGAAGAGGCAGGGTTTCTGAGCGGCATGGGCGCACTTGCCGGACTGGCACTCGTTAGCCATACGACTGAGTCTACATGTGCCCGGGCGCTGAGGGGAGGCATGCACGCCGGCAGTCTCTGGGGGGAAGGTGGGAAGAGGCAAGGCTTCTGGGTGGTGTGTGGGCTTTTGGCGGGGACGGGGCTGCCATGTGAAGTTTGTCGTGGCGCCCAGGCCCAGCCCTAGGGGCCCTAGGCTAGGGCCAGCCAGTCAGAACTCAGAGATGGTGGCGGTGCTGGTGGCGCCGGCGGTCATCCAGTCAGGGAAGCCACTAGCCAGGGAGATCATACAGCCTGCTTTTGGTGGGGGGTGGGGTTTTTGTTGGGGGTCATTCTGTTTGGTGCCCCTAGGGCCGGGCCGGGCTCTAGGCGAATGCCTAGTTCGTTTAGTGGGTGAGCCAGCCCTGCCCACACATTACATTGCATACAGGTGAAGTACGGCCTAGATTAGATGTTCCCGACATGGGACCCATGTGCACATCATGGTGCCCACTGACATTGTTCCTAATGCCTGCCAAGTGTTTTTTATAAGTGCGAAGGGCCAGGTGGGGTTTTGTCCAGCAGGACTTCTGATTGGCCATAGGAGCTAGTGCAGAGTTTTTAAAAGTTGCTTTGGTTTGGCAGCAGCTGATATCTTCACTGTGTTACTGAAGTTAAGCTGTGTATGTACAAAAAACATTTTTAACTATGTGTTTTTTTAAAAAATGCCTCCTGTAAATAGCTTCTGCCTTTAAATTTCAAGAGTTACATTCAGAGTTATTCACAAGTAGAAAGCCTTTTCCACAGTATGTCCTCATTCCTTATCCTGAAAACCCCCATAGACTCTCCCCTTTTCCTGCCTCTTTTTTCCTTCTAGGGTTGCCAACCTCCAGATGTGGCCTGGAGATCTCCTGGAATCATAACAGATCTCCCAAGTACAGAGATCAGTTCCCCCCTAAGGTTGTCAGTTCCAGATTGAGAAATTCCTGAAAATTTGGGAGTGGAGCCTTTTAGGAGGGCAAGGTTTGGGGAGGGAAGTGAACTCGGCAGGGTCCATCCTCCAAAGCAGCCATTTTCTCAAGATTCTGCCATCTAGAGTTCAGGTATAAATCTAGGAGATCTCCAGATCCCATCTGGAGGTTGGCAATCCTGTCCCCTGAAATGGTTGCTTTCGATGGTGGAGTCTATGGCATTATATTCCTCTGAGGTCCCTCCCCAGGCTCCACCCCCCGATCTACAGGAATTTCCTAACTTGGGGTTGGCAAACTTATCTCATTCCCAACAGCAAACCCACCTTTATCTGCTCTTTCTTAAGCTTTCCCTCTCACCCCTCTTCTGGCTGCCTCTACCTAGGAAAACTGCGGACCAGTTGAGTGGTGCCAGCTACTGGACCAGACCCATTTGCATGGCAGGGAACCCTCAACCTCAAGGACCTGTGGGGTGGTGCCTCACTTTCCCTCCTCAGATTTCACCACAGAGTCTCTTAAGAATATCCCAATCGAGAGCTGGCAATTCTAATTAGGCTGGCCCTTATGAGTACTTCCTAAAAAGAGCCAAAATAGGCCTGTAATGGCCTTGCCCTCTCCCCTTGCCTTTTTACTCACATAAACCCAGCCTGGAATACTGTGGTTGCCATTGGAGGAATCTATTACTTAAAGCTACAAGCGTGCCTTTGATCATTTTTGAGTTTTTTATAATCCACATTTTTAAAAAGTTTTTACATTTTTCTGCAAACCTGGGGGTCTTTTCAGGTTTGTAGAAAGATCTGTTGCCAATTCACAGCCCAGTCACCAGATTTAAGTATCCAAAGATTTGTCTACCCTGCCAACCACAGATCATCACTCTCTGACATTCTGTGGATGGCTCCATCTCCTGCAGCAGCCATTTTATGGCTGTGCTCACCATCCTTTGTCAGAATTCCAAAGGTGTGCTCAGGCTTGAAAGGGCTGGTGATCCCTGGACTAGACATACAGTGGCTAGGTTGAAATACACAGCAGGTTTCCATTGTGGGGCATGTTGAAATTTCAGGGAGTCATTGATATAGAACTGTTACATGGCTTGCTGAGAGTAATATTGTTTTTAATAAACCTGGGCTTAAAACTTGTACAACTACAGTGTTGGCAAGTTTCACATGGGGTTTTTATTGTGTGTTGTCAGGTGAGACAGCTCAGACCACCTTTATTCAAATGGTCTTGACAGTCAGGATGCTTGAAAATTCTGGCCTTGTTTGTCTACTCTCCTCTTCACCTCCTTCGAGAAGATACGGATTTTGTCCTTAAAAGAGAGAGTGAGCATGCCAAGGAAGGAGCTTTTGTGTTCTTGTACAATTTTAATTTTTGGATTACTACACTTCAAATAAGTGGAGCTGTTTTGGTTACTTACAGTCAAGTCATTAAAGATGTGTTTAACATTTTGTGTTAGATGCATAGGTGCTTGGGCAATAGAGATCTCTTAAATGAAAATTATTAATGAGCTGCTGGTATTATAGTTATTTCATTTTGGTTTTTAGATGAAAACTGGGATGATCAGCTACTTGGATTTGAGCCTTGCAATGAAAACCTGATAACAGGCTGCAATATAATCAATGGAAAATGCGAATGTGATACTATTAGGACCTGTAGTAATCCCTTTGAGTTTCCAAGCCGGGATACTTGTCTATCAGCTTTAAAAAAGATTGAAGGTAAGTCTGTATTCACTAGTATTTGACTTGTAATTGTTAATGGCACATCGCTTTAAAGGCCTAAAATGCAATTCTTTAGACTTTAATAAGTATATATTATTGGAGATATTAGATCAATAGTGTTGGCTAATGAGGCATTTCTGATTTTGTTGAATACTCAGCGGGGTAAAAAGTCTTTGTTCTTGTGGGAAGAGAATGATTGTTGACTGTGTATTGCTTGGACTATCCAAAATGAATAAAGTTTGCCACTTGTTACATGCTTGAAATTCTTTACGAAGATGGAAGGCTAGTTAAAATGGTACAGTTGCTACTGTATCTTTAAACATCTTATCACACAAGATACTTAAATATAAGTAACTATAACGGAAAAGCAAGTGTACTGTCATGTGTGGAGTAAGGCTTGTGTCTTCCTTAGACTGCATGTGTTAGGAAGCCATCATGACACCAGCTTTCAGTCCTGTATATATGTAGCAAGATATCTACTTCTGCCATACTTCATTTTCCTGTGTGCTGGTTGTCAGTTAGGAAAGTCATTCAAGAATTTGCCTTTAGAATACTTCTGTTAGTTTTATGTGTTCAACTTGTGTTTTATGTGTTCTCATGTTCTATGTGTTGAGCTGGTACCTTACAGTTAGAAGCATTAAGGGAAAATCAAGTCCTGCCTTTCATTTATAAACATCTAATTTAATGGTGCTTCCTTATTACAAATATTGAATAATAAAAGAAAGTATGTGATCTGAGGGCTAATCTATAATCCCAAAATTGGTGTGTGCATACCGTACAAATCTCATATGTTTGAAACAGTCTGCCGCTGCAATACATGACTTTTTCTTGTTAAATGGAACAAAATCCATGTAATACCTTTTTATCAGAGCCAACCAAATAATAGAAAACATTGCACAAGCTTTCAGGCTCATCAGAACTTTTCACCAGGCCAGGCTCAGTTGCAAAAATTTAATAAATGGAGGAAAAAAGCAGATTTTCAAGGTCAAGATTTTAAAACCCTGTCTTGTTGGCCTTTGTTAGATTCTGACAAGCTCACAGTTTAATTGCTGTCTGCAGTCTGGGAAGAAGAAGAAAACAATGGAGGGTTATCTCATTTGAATAAATACAGTCCAACAAGTTCCAAATGTCACTCAGTCTGAGAGCAGATGGAAGCATCTGGTAGTTTATATTTTAACAGTGGTTGAGGTAAATATTTGGTTTTTGAGAGCTTTACAAATTGTTAATCTACTCTATAATTTTCTTGATTTTTGATGTAGGAGCAATTTACCCTATTCAACAGTATAGTGGCAGTGGTTTTTGCAATGGTTAATGCTAACTGGTTTCTGCTATGTACTTAGGATTAACTGGTTGAATCCTGGTTATCCTTAATCATGACTAATGGTCATACTAATGTAATTTATTGTAGTAAAGGCTAAGGGGTGGAATTTATTTGTGAGTAAGGAGGAACCAGCAGAAGGAACATGATCCTGGTTCAGAGTTACAACTGCAAAGTTTTTTGCATTCTTGTGCTTGAACTTCAAATTTACACTAGTGCTGTATGCAGGGCACACATGTACACAGTGATGTACCTTTCCAGTGTTACTTGTAACATGATGATTTTGATAAAAACAAGAAAATAAGGGCCCTGTGTAAGGGGAGTAAAAGTCCTGGTTCTAAGAGTCTATCTGAAGCTGGAATCCATTCTTTACATAATGTAGTCACAGTAGCTCTTCTAAGATTTCAGCAGAGGTACTCCCAGTACACTGTATTTAACATTGAACATCTGGAACATCTATCTTGGCTTCTTTACTATGCACAAGTGATATGAGGAAAGATCTCATTGTACTTCCTGTGTGGGTTTGCTCAAGCATACTCCCATCCTGTGTGAGCCTTTGTTATATAGACTCTGAATTAAGTTCATATTTGCTGTGGCTTCAGTCAGTTCTTCAGCATGTATTACAGTTTACTTCAGACACCTGCCGATATATCCTGCAACCCCAAACATTTGGTAAAAAGTACTACAAATGCAGGAATTGAAGGCATTACAACAGGTTCTTCCAGATATGTGTAACATTTTATTTATCTTTTAATTTGTTTACAACATTTATACCCCACTTTTCTGTCCTCACAAGGGCCACCAAGGTGGCTAACAGTTTAAAACATATATGATAAAATCATATTTTAAAACCACTAAAATCAACCCCCCAAAGCACATATAATTAAAATAATTAAAAATAGTTGACATACACAAAACATAAAAACAGCAATTACAATTTCAAAACTTTAAGAATTTTATACCACTTACACTACCATACAAGACACCGTTCAATGTTATACACAAAAAAAGTTTTTCTTCGACAGAACTGCAACTTGTAGGCAAATTTAAGACAACCTCCTAATTTTTATGGCAGCCTTAGGGGGGGAAACTTAGTCTTGCATTTCAGTAAATATGGTATTGTTGTCAGCTAAACAAAATAATCCTAGACCTTGCCCACAGTTCTTGAGTGGAACTTTCTGCATTAGTACATTAAGTAATGCAACACTAATCCAGTCATGAATGTCGATCTCAAGATCTGATCATATGCTCTGTTCTCTCTCTGAAGCTTTTCTGCCTCATATACTATCTTGATTTACCTTCTCTCAGCCTGCCCTGGCAACTCTTTTAAGGGTATGTTTTAGGAGGTTGCAGTTAGCAGTGAATTGGTTATTACAATAAACACATGCAATCCTAAATCCTGAGTGTGACATGCTGAGACACAGAACATTGCATTGTGCATTAGTTATATAGCTTTGTTTGAAGTTATTAAAGCAAATAATTGTATCATAGCTAATGATATAGTTCAGTGACCAAACTGCATAGGCAAAGCTGCTTTGCTTTCTGTAACTCTGGAATCAACAACTGGTAATCGTTGGGGGGGGGGCACTAGCTATGGTGCTACTTCCTAGAGCAATTCATAAAATATTTAAGCCTCACTGTAGCATGTGGAAAAGAAATTTTGATAAATTTTTTTAGAGTTGGTTAGAAATGAGCAAAAACCTTTTTAAAGCCATTTAAACTCTACTTGCTTGTCTCCTGCAGCTGAATAACTAAAACTGGTTCAACTGGTATTACAACATTTTCTAAGGAACACTTAGGAACATGGAAAAGCAGTTCATCTCAAATTCTTTTTTAGATGTGCATAGCTGTCAGGTTTTAGTTTTTGTGATGGCATCCTAGATGAAATTATGCTTGTGGAGTATTTATAAGCAAAGAACTAGCTATTTTTTTTAAGCTGAAGAGATACCTTTCTCCCCTTTTGGATGCCAAAACTTAGTATCCAGATGTATAAAAGATACTTTACAACCATAAAACATTGCAAATATATTTTAAATGATGAGAAATTTATTCTGCTGTGCTAGTTCTAACTAGCCAAAATGGAAGAGATGCTAATGTTTTGTAGCAGCCCATTCAAATTACTGAAATCAAAAACCATTAAGCATGTCTTAACTATACAGTAACACACAGTATTCTAAGATTAAGAATATCTAGTTTTGATCATTTCTATTAAAATGGCTACATCGTATTGGTATACTTCATAGCATGTTTCTAAACCTATTCCGTTTCCAATTGATGAATTATGATTGTAAATATAGCTGTGCAAAACAAGCACTTTCTAAATACGAAACACTTCTTAGGTTTCAAATAAAGCAGCAGTGATAAAAAATGTTACATTTACAAAGAGATGTTTAAGGTTTCACAGTTACATGAGAATTTTATGACTGAGGCTAAAGTCCTTTGTCATCACTTTAGCAAGTTTTACTTCTGAGGTAGGAGAGCTGTTTTTAACAAATATGAGGAAACGGTATGTGTGCTAGTTGATGTCTTGTTTGTTCTTGCCTTCTTATGTCTAGAGCAAGATTTTGTCTAGAGCTACATTGTTGTATTCATGTTAAAAATGCTATTGAATTTGTTGCCTGAATTGTACATTACAAATAATTACTTCCGTGTTTGGTGCAATATGGCCAAGTTGCTGCTGTCCATAAAACACCTTAACCCTCTGCTTGTTACCTTTCTTAATAAATAATGTGTCTTAATGACAGATTATTTTTCTAATGTCAGAAGTGACTCAATAAGGAGCCCTTTTGACTGATTAGCCACCAAATGTCCTGCTGCTAAGAAAGTTAATGAGTTTGCAGAAATCCAATGTGATGTACAGAAGGTGTTAATCATTTTAGTGGAAAGACAGAGGAATGGTTCTGCATGCAGAAGGTCTAGGATTGCCAGCCCCAAATCCTGGCAGAGGATTCCTCAGTTTCAGAGGCTTCCCTCTGAAACGGACCAGCTGGCAGGTGGGGGAAACCCAGGGACACTCTATGGTTTTGAGGGAGAAAAAACCATTGCGTTTCGGCCAAATACTAGAGCGTCCCTGAGCAACATCCCCAATGGGATGACATCATTTCCAGGAGACGTCATCACATTGGGGGTATTGTGTGATGTCCCCACTCATCCCTGGAATGCCCCCCCATATCCCTCCACCAGAGGAGCAAGGAGACCGGGCAACCCTAAGAAGGTCCAAGGTTCAGTCCTCTGTATCTCAGGTTAAAAACACATGATGTGAAAAACTTCTTTAAACCCTGGAGAGGTGATGCCAGTCATAGTAGACAGTATTGATATTAATGGACTAATGGTCTGTGTATTAGCCAATTCTCATGAAAGTTCTTGTAGTAGCATTTCAGTATTGTTGGTCAAATTGGCACTACACTGATAGTGTAGCTGACCTGCTCATTAAAAAAAGATCTTGGCTTTAATTGTAGAGCTATGACCAGGTTGTCCAAACATCAGTATGTTGACCATCCAAAATGCAGTGGTGCTGTCCTCCTGTCTGCCTCCCTGGTAGATTGCTTACATGAAATAGGTGCTTACTAGTCTACTACCTTCAAACCCTTTGCCTTTGGTTTGTGATGGCATGGTGAAAATGCCAAGAGCACAAAACATTTCCAACTAGACATGGTTTTTAGTCAGCTGCCATACAGCA